TCATCGAATAAAAATATGTTTTAGCAGCACCCATAGTTCAATTATTTCGAATGTGCCAAAAATTTTGAAGATTAAATTTGACAACCTTCACTACTTTTTTTACATGACTTTTGAAGCATAGCGTTGAATCAAGGACTACCCCAAGGTATTTGAACTCTGAGACCAGGCGAAGTTCCTTCTCCCCGTTCAGGAAGACGTTTGATCTACTTACTTCGACATGGCGTTTTGAGAAGTACATGCACACAGTTTTTCTGGTGTTCAACATGAGACATGAATTCCTGAGCCAGTCCTGCACATAAGATAGGGCAGCTGTGAGATCAACAGCTGCTTGTTGGATGGTTTTTGCTTGAGTGTAAATTACTGCGTCATCCGCATACATCTGCGAGAAGACGTTTGGGCATGAATTTGGTAGGTTATTGATAAAAAGAGAGAATAAAACTGGCCCAAGAACAGACCCCTGCGGGACACCAACCCCAGAATCTAAACAAGGAGACTTGACACCAACGTACTGTTTCCTGTGGGAGAGGCAGGATTTAAACCATAAAAGTGCTTGATCAGAGATGTTAAATTGAGTCAACCTGGATATTAAAATCTGATGGTTAACAGAGTCAAAGGCTTTCTTCAAATCTAAGAAGACAGCCCCGGCACAAGGATTCTTGTCAAGCAGACCTTTTATGTTCTCTGTACACACAGGGCACTATCGGTGGAGTGATGGGTCCGAAAACCAAACTGTAATGGATGTAGTGAAGGTTGGACATTTTCCAGATGAGCCGTCAACTGTCTGACTACCCACTTCTCTGCTATTTTGGATATAACTGGAAGTATGCTGATAGGTCTATAATTAGACATGTCTGTTGTAGCACCAGATTTAAGTATTGGTGTCACTGCAGCTACTTTCCAATCTGCAGGGACTATAGAATGGTTAAAGGACATATTAAGAAGATGGGTTATTGGATGTATTAAATAATCCTTATACTCTTTAACAAAATGTGTATTAAGGTCAAATGCATCAAGAGCTTTTGAATTTTTCATACCAACAATAATTTTTGTAACTTCATAGTCTGAAATTTCAGTGATTTTGAATACAGGCTGATGTGGATCAGAGACATTGTCAGAACACAGAGGTGGATCAAAATGCTGCGGAATCTCTTTCACAGAATTTATAAAGAAACTGTTAAAATTGGTGGCTTTGGAAAATGGATCTTTAATAATAGAGTCATTAATTTGAAGCTCCATTTCCTTATTGTTTTTATTTAGATGTCTATCAAGCAGTTTGTTTAGATTTTGCCATACTAATTTTCCATTGCCGTTTGCATTCTCTATTATTTTAATGAAAAAATTCGCTTTAGCCTGTCTCAGACTCTGTGTTACCTTATTTTGCAAATGGGTAAACCTTTGACGGTCTATTGTTAGACCTGATTTTAAAAATTGCTTTAATATCAGGTCTCTAGCTGACATTACATTTTTACATTCTGTGTTCAGCCATGGCAAGTGGTACCTTTTTTTACGTCTATATCTCCCTCTACTCGAATGAGTTGAGATAACATCCTTCAGAGATTTAATAAATTTACTGGTACATAATTCAGGATTGTCATCATACAAAATTGTATCCCATTCCAGAGATGTCAGGGCTATGGCCACATTTTGTCGTTGGCTGTTAGGTATAAACTCATAAGGAGACCTGCTATTTGTGGGGTTAAGGAAATCATTAGCCCTCGACTTTGGCAATTTCCTAGAAAAAAGTATAATATTATGGTCTGAGAGACCAGTCAGGAAATTGTATGATCTAATTATCCTTTCGGGTCTGTTGCTGAAAAGTAGATCTATTTTAGTTTTAGAGTGTTTCGTAATCCTTGTTGGTTGCTGAACAAGTTGAGAAAAATTAAGATTATCCATTGTATGCTTTAGTGTTTTCCTATCTTTCTTACAGTCCCAATTCACATTGAAATCTCCAATTACAATAACTTCATTGGACTTCTTGTGTGTTGTATGATGTTTAAGTAGTGCCTGCAGTTGTTCATAGAAGTCGACTTTAGCTGATGGTGGACGATAAAGGCAAATCAGAGTAAAACTCATCTCTGCAGAGAGGGAAATTTTAACTGAAACATTTTCAATTTTGATCTCACTTGGCACACTTAATTGTAAACACTTCAAATTATTCTTCACATACAGCAATACACCCCCACCTCTTCCTTTACCTCTGTCCCTTCTAAACACATTATAGTCAGGAAAAACAACACCAGCTTCAGGGGATGATTCTTTAAGCCAAGTTTCTGATAGGCCTAATATATCAATATTTGAATTCCTGAGAATATGGTCCAGTTGTTTACGTTTAGGGAGCATACTACGTATGTTAAGGTGAGCACAAAAAAAGCCCTTTTGGCCTATTTTTATTGTCCCATATTAATTTAGCCTGGTTTAATGTATTAAAAATATTTGTCTCTCGATATCTTCTCATTACATAATTTCTAATTTTTTTAATGGCAGGAGTTTAGTGCAGTCTGAGTACAGTCAGGTACGAACCAGTTTTGGATCCCTGGCGTAAGTGCCGTTGTTTCCAATTCAGCTGTCATATTGACGGCCAATGTCACATGACCATCAACGCACGTCGCAGCAGCGATACGCGATACGCGATACGATACATTATATATGTAAAATATAGCAAGGAGATATTTTACGTTGACGATGCTGACTCGCGATCTTCAGTAGCCTAGTGAACGTGCCAGAGAGAAATGCACATTTCATAAGGATTGCATAAGCAGAGAGCAGACTGTAGTCTGTTTTCTTTCGTTTTGAATTGTTCTGTTTAAAAGTAGACATGTGAGGCAAGTAGGCTACCTTATATGCTGAGTTTCGGTTCATTATGTGACGAGCTCCAGTTCACGCGCCGGCGCCTCCGTTTCCTATCTATCGTCTGCTATATTTACTTCTTATTTATCAAATCCAGGCAATTGGTTGATGAAACATTGATTAAAATTAAGATACAACTAATACAAAACGAAATTCAGGTTAAAGAAAGGTTTTGTGCTTTCTGTTTGATGTCTCTGTGGAAGTTTTAAAGCATCTTAGTGCTGCTTTCAGAGCGCTCACGTCCGTAACAGAGAACACGTCTGTAACATTGTTTTTTCCTCATAAATGCGAACACGAAAAATTGAATAAAATAAAATGAATATTTTATGTAGGCTACTGTGGAGACTGACGCCGGGTTCACACCGGACGCTGAAGCGGCGCGGAACGGAGGCCGCTTCCTTTCGGCGCCCATGTTAACCTATGGTGTCGTTCACACCAGCCGGCACGCGCCGTGAAGCGCCAGTTTCGGCGTCTGGTCTATTTTTTTCGCGAGCCACGAGTGATCCGCGTCAATTCCAGCAGGAAGTTACACCAAGAAACACTCGACCGTCCGGTCAATTGTCAAAATATAAGCAATTTTCAAATTAAAATACAATATAATACCCTATAATCAAAAGATATAGGGCAAGGGCTCTCCTCCTGTCTACTTGCACTGGGAAACAGGAAGAAGAAAATAGATTTAATAAATTTGAAGAGAGGATGTATATTTCAACGGTATATATATAGGCCTACACTACTATAACTGTCTACCATATTCTCTCTCTGCCTGCGTGTGTGTCTCGACAACGGATTAATAAAAGAAGTGTACAAACTTCTTGGTTACAGAAACATGGTGTATTTATATTATGAGGTTATTTACTTACCCATTATCATGTAAAAAAATAGCTCTGAATAAACAACAACTGAGCTGAAGCGCTTGTCGACCTCCACGAAGAATACGCGTCTGGTGTGAACAGGCAGGCGCCAGACCACGCGTGATTTTCCGTTCCGCGTCGCTTCAGCGTCCGGTGTGAGCCCGGCATGAGAGCCAACCCTTCTTCATCCGGTGGGTAGTATTACTTTTGGTTTGCGCAGTGTAATTCACATAATCACTAAAAAAATATTTTGCCTCCAAGTTTTTATTTTTTTAAGCAATCAGAAATCTAGGGCACTGCTATAATCCCACCCACTTTGAAGCGGTACTAACTGCAGTGGAAAAGCAAACCGAGCTAAAGCGAACCCAGCCGTGCCGTGCTGAGCCGATTCGTACCACGCAGTGGAAAAGCGAAGCGAGCCGAACCGTGCCGTGCCGAGCCGAACGTACGTTTGAATGTAGGGTTAGGGGACGAAGGATCCAAGACCAGGGTCCAAGAAGGTTTAGGGGTAATAGGGAAAAATACACATTTACAAAATACAAAAAATACATAGTGGGTACATATACTAAATTGGGGGCGGGCAGTCGATTGAAGCTGGTCTCTCTCGGCTACCATATATGCACTGCTCAAAAAAATAAAGGGAACACTTAAACAACACAATGTAACTCCAAGTCAATCACACTTCTGTGAAATCAAACTGTCCACTTAGGAAGCAACACTGATTGACAATCAATTTCACATGCTGTTGTGCAAATGGAATAGACAACAGGTGGGAATTATAGGCAATTAGCAAGACACCCCCAATAAAGGAGTGGTTCTGCAGGTGGTGACCACAGACCACATCTCAGTTCCTATGCTTCCTGGCTGATGTTTTGGTCACTTTTGATTGCTGGCGGTGCTTTCACTCTAGTGGTAGCATGAGACGGAGTCTACAACCCACACAAGTGGCTCAGGTAGTGCAGCTCAATGCGAGCTGTGGCAAGAAGGTTTGCTGTGTCTGTCAGCGTAGTGTCCAGAGCATGGAGGCGCGACCAGGAGACAGGCCAGTACATCAGGAGACGTGGAGGAGGCAGTAGGAGGGCAACAACCCAGCAGCAGGACCGCTACCTCCGCCTTTGTGCAAGGAGGAGCACTCCCAGAGCCTTGCAAAATGTGCATGTGTCTGCTCAAACGAGATATATCCAGCTGCAGACCCGCAGCACCAACACCAGTTTCAGAACCCCAGCGCCAGAACCCCAGCGCCAGAACCCCAGCGCCAGAACCCCAGCGCCAGAACCGGAAGTGGGGGCGGAGTTATTGACAATGAGACAAGCATGGCGGAGAGCACGGTGAGTTGTCTAACGTTTTTGACATCATGTGATGAAAAATTATCGCATATTATTAAGTTCTGCATTTAGCTGCTAAATATTGAATTTGTGCTTAACTTTATCATCTTATTGAAGCTTGAATATGTTGTCATACTCTATTGTATTAAACATTTTTTCTACGGATGGTTCGATACATTGTTGCGTGTTGTAAATGGGCCTTGCTTGTGGTGACGTTTTGAAGACGTTTATCTTGTGAAGGTGTTAAAGTGTTTGTTCCACATTCCTCTGTTATATGCATTGTTTGTGAGTTAATGTTACCTTATAGTCGAGGAGTTTTTTTACGTTGATATTATTGTGTGGTGCTTTCATCTCTTGTAGAGACATATAACGATTCAGAGAGGCGACTCATTACCTGAGCTGCAGCAGTGCAACAAGTGCTGCAGCTATTACCACTGCCCTTTTTGCTCGGCCAGTGTATTTAAGCCAGCAAAACTAGTAAAATTAAAAAGTCATGTACAAATCCACTTCAACAAGGCAGTTGTCTATGGAGGTATGAATATCTTGAATATTTGTTTAATACATGTACACACAACCCAATATATTATAGCATAATAATTTACTGATTTATTTTAGGCTTCACTATACACAGATGTGGACTGGGATGTAGAACAGCACTGCATTACCACTGCCCATACTGTGATACTACAGTTTTAAGGAGAAGGGATTTTGAAACGCATGTACAGGTTTGCAAAAACAAACCGCTTCCAACTTCAACCACAATTTTATCACCAGCCACTGCAGCGCTGACCACACCTTCTGCAGCCACTGCAGCGCTGACCACACCTTCTGCAGCCACTGCAGCGCTGACCACACCTTCTGCAGCCACTGCAGCGCTGACCACACCTTCTGCAGCCACTGCAGCGCTGACCACACCTTCTGCAGCCACTGCAGCGCTGACCACACCTTCTGCAGCCACTGCAGCCCTGACCACACCTTCTGCAGCCACTGCAGCGCTGACCACACCTTCTGCAGCCACTGCAGCGCTGACCACACCTTCTGCAGCGCTGACCACACCTTCTGCAGCCACTGCAGCGCTGACCACACCTTCTGCAGCCACTGCAGCCCTGACCACACCTTCTGCAGCCACTGCAGCCCTGACCACACCTTCTGCAGCCACTGCAGCGCTGACCACACCTTCTGCAGCCACTGCAGCGCTGACCACACCTTCTGCAGCCACTGCAGCGCTGACCACACCTTCTGCAGCCACTGCAGCCCTGACCACACCTTCTGCAGCCACTGCACCGCTGACCACACCTTCTGCAGCCACTGCAGCCCTGACCACACCTTCTGCAGCCACTGCAGCCCTGACCACACCTTCTGCAGCCACTGCAGCCCTGACCACACCTTCTGCAGCCACTGCAGCGCTGACCACACCTTCTGCAGCCACTGCAGCGCTGACCACACCTTCTGCAGCCACTGCAGCGCTGACCACACCTTCTGCAGCCACTGCAGCGCTGACCACACCTTCTGCAGCCACTGCAGCGCTGACCACACCTTCTGCAGCCACTGCAGCGCTGACCACACCTTCTGCAGCCACTGCAGCGCTGACCACACCTTCTGCAGCCACTGCAGCGCTGACCACACCTTCTGCAGCCACTGCAGCGCTGACCACACCTTCTGCAGCCACTGCAGCGCTGACCACACCTTCTGCAGCCACTGCAGCGCTGACCACACCTTCTGCAGCCACTGCAGCGCTGACCACACCTTCTGCAGCCACTGCAGCCCTGACCACACCTTCTGCAGCCACTGCAGCCCTGACCACACCTTCTGAAGCCACTGCAGCGCTGACCACACCTTCTGCAGCCACTGCAGCGCTGACCACACCTTCTGCAGCCACTGCAGCGCTGACCACACCTTCTGCAGCCACTGCAGCCCTGACCACACCTTCTGCAGCCACTGCAGCGCTGACCACACCTTCTGCAGCCACTGCAGCGCTGACCACACCTTCTGCAGCCACTGCAGCGCTGACCACACCTTCTGCAGCCACTGCAGCCCTGACCACACCTTCTGCAGCCACTGCAGCGCTGACCACACCTTCTGCAGCCACTGCAGCGCTGACCACACCTTCTGCAGCCACTGCAGCCCTGACCACACCTTCTGCAGCCACTGCAGCCCTGACCACACCTTCTGCAGCCACTGCAGCGCTGACCACACCTTCTGCAGCCACTGCAGCGCTGACCACACCTTCTGCAGCCACTGCAGCGCTGACCACACCTTCTGCAGCCACTGCAGCGCTGACCACACCTTCTGCAGCCACTGCAGCGCTGACCACACCTTCTGCAGCCACTGCAGCGCTGACCACACCTTCTGCAGCCACTGCAGCCCTGACCACACCTTCTGCAGCCACTGCAGCCCTGACCACACCTTCTGAAGCCACTGCAGCGCTGACCACACCTTCTGCAGCCACTGCAGCGCTGACCACACCTTCTGCAGCCACTGCAGCGCTGACCACACCTTCTGCAGCCACTGCAGCCCTGACCACACCTTCTGCAGCCACTGCAGCGCTGACCACACCTTCTGCAGCCACTGCAGCGCTGACCACACCTTCTGCAGCCCTGACCACACCTTCTGCAGCCACTGCAGCGCTGACCACACCTTCTGCAGCCACTGCAGCCCTGACCACACCTTCTGCAGCCACTGCAGTGCTGACCACACCTTCTGCAGCCACTGCAGCGCTGACCACACCTTCTGCAGCCACTGCAGCGCTGACCACACCTTCTGCAGTGCTGACCACACCTTCTGCAGCCACTGCAGTGCTGACCACACCTTCTGCAGCCACTGCAGCGCTGACCACACCTTCTGCAGCGCTGACCACACCTTCTGCAGCGCTGACCACACCTTCTGCAGCCACTGCAGTGCTGACCACACCTTCTGCATTCACTGCAGCGCTGACCACACCTTCTGCAGCCACTGCAGTGCTGACCACACCTTCTGCAGCCCTGACCACACCTTCTGCAGCCCTGACCACACCTTCTGCAGCCACTGCAGCGCTGACCACACCTTCTGCAGCCACTGCAGCGCTGACCACACCTTCTGCAGCCACTGCAGCGCTGACCACACCTTCTGCAGCCACTGCAGCGCTGACCACACCTTCTGCAGCCACTGCAGCGCTGACCACACCTTCTGCAGTGCTGACCACACCTTCTGCAGCCACTGCAGCCCTGACCACACCTTCTGCAGCCACTGCAGCCCTGACCACACCTTCTGCAGCCACTGCAGCGCTGACCACACCTTCTGCAGCCACTGCAGCGCTGACCACACCTTCTGCAGTGCTGACCACACCTTCTGCAGCCACTGCAGTGCTGACCACACCTTCTGCAGCCACTGCAGCGCTGACCACACCTTCTGCAGTGCTGACCACACCTTCTGCAGCCACTGCAGTGCTGACCACACCTTCTGCAGCCACTGCAGCGCTGACCACACCTTCTGCAGCGCTGACCACACCTTCTGCAGCGCTGACCACACCTTCTGCAGCCACTGCAGCGCTGACCACACCTTCTGCAGCCACTGCAGCGCTGACCACACCTTCTGCAGCCACTGCAGCGCTGACCACACCTTCTGCAGCCACTGCAGCGCTGACCACACCTTCTGCAGCCACTGCAGCGCTGACCACACCTTCTGCAGCCACTGCAGCGCTGACCACACCTTCTGCAGCCACTGCAGCCCTGACCACACCTTCTGCAGCCACTGCAGCGCTGACCACACCTTCTGCAGCCACTGCAGCGCTGACCACACCTTCTGCAGCCACTGCAGCGCTGACCACACCTTCTGCAGCCACTGCAGCGCTGACCACACCTTCTGCAGCCACTGCAGCCCTGACCACACCTTCTGCAGCCACTGCAGCGCTGACCACACCTTCTGCAGCCACTGCAGCGCTGACCACACCTTCTGCAGCCACTGCAGCCCTGACCACACCTTCTGCAGCCACTGCAGCCCTGACCACACCTTCTGCAGCCACTGCAGCGCTGACCACACCTTCTGCAGCCACTGCAGCGCTGACCACACCTTCTGCAGCCACTGCACCGCTGACCACACCTTCTGCAGCCACTGCAGCGCTGACCACACCTTCTGCAGCCACTGCAGCGCTGACCACACCTTCTGCAGCCCTGACCACACCTTCTGCAGCCACTGCAGCGCTGACCACACCTTCTGCAGCCACTGCAGCGCTGACCACACCTTCTGCAGCCACTGCAGCCCTGACCACACCTTCTGCAGCCACTGCAGTGCTGACCACACCTTCTGCAGCCACTGCAGCGCTGACCACACCTTCTGCAGCCACTGCAGCGCTGACCACACCTTCTGCAGTGCTGACCACACCTTCTGCAGCCACTGCAGTGCTGACCACACCTTCTGCAGCCACTGCAGCGCTGACCACACCTTCTGCAGCGCTGACCACACCTTCTGCAGCGCTGACCACACCTTCTGCAGCCACTGCAGTGCTGACCACACCTTCTGCATTCACTGCAGCGCTGACCACACCTTCTGCAGCCACTGCAGTGCTGACCACACCTTCTGCAGCCCTGACCACACCTTCTGCAGCCCTGACCACACCTTCTGCAGCCACTGCAGCGCTGACCACACCTTCTGCAGCCACTGCAGCGCTGACCACACCTTCTGCAGCCACTGCAGCGCTGACCACACCTTCTGCAGCCACTGCAGCGCTGACCACACCTTCTGCAGCCACTGCAGCGCTGACCACACCTTCTGCAGTGCTGACCACACCTTCTGCAGCCACTGCAGCCCTGACCACACCTTCTGCAGCCACTGCAGCCCTGACCACACCTTCTGCAGCCACTGCAGCGCTGACCACACCTTCTGCAGTGCTGACCACACCTTCTGCAGCCACTGCAGTGCTGACCACACCTTCTGCAGCCACTGCAGCGCTGACCACACCTTCTGCAGTGCTGACCACACCTTCTGCAGCCACTGCAGTGCTGACCACACCTTCTGCAGCCACTGCAGCGCTGACCACACCTTCTGCAGCGCTGACCACACCTTCTGCAGCGCTGACCACACCTTCTGCAGCCACTGCAGCGCTGACCACACCTTCTGCAGCCACTGCAGCGCTGACCACACCTTCTGCAGCCACTGCAGCGCTGACCACACCTTCTGCAGCCACTGCAGCGCTGACCACACCTTCTGCAGCCACTGCAGCGCTGACCACACCTTCTGCAGCCCTGACCACACCTTCTGCAGCCCTGACCACACCTTCTGCAGCCACTGCAGCACTGACCACACCTTCTGCAGCCACTGCAGCGCTGACCACACCTTCTGCAGCCACTGCAGCGCTGACCACACCTTCTGCAGTGCTGACCACACCTTCTGCAGCCACTGCAGCGCTGACCACACCTTCTGCAGTGCTGACCACACCTTCTGCAGCCACTGCAGCCCTGACCACACCTTCTGCAGCCACTGCAGCCCTGACCACACCTTCTGCAGCCCTGACCACACCTTCTGCAGCCCTGACCACACCTTCTGCAGCGACTGCAGCGCTGACTACACCTTCTGCAGCCACTGCAGCGCTGACCACACCTTCTGCAGCCACTGCAGCGCTGACCACACCTTCTGCAGCCACTGCAGCGCTGACCACACCTTCTGCAGTGCTGACCACACCTTCTGCAGCCACTGCAGCCCTGACCACACCTTCTGCAGCCCTGACCACACCTTCTGCAGCCACTGCAGCCCTGACCACACCTTCTGCAGCCACTGCAGCGCTGACCACACCTTCTGCAGCCACTGCAGCGCTGACCACACCTTCTGCAGTGCTGACCACACCTTCTGCAGCCACTGCAGCCCTGACCACACCTTCTGCAGCCACTGCAGCCCTGACCACACCTTCTGCAGCCACTGCAGCGCTGACCACACCTTCTGCAGCCACTGCAGCGCTGACCACACCTTCTGCAGCCACTGCAGCCCTGACCACACCTTCTGCAGCCACTGCAGCCCTGACCACACCTTCTGCAGCCACTGCAGCCCTGACCACACCTTCTGCAGCCACTGCAGCGCTGACCACACCTTCTGCAGCCACTGCAGCCCTGACCACACCTTCTGCAGCCACTGCAGCGCTGACCACACCTTCTGCAGCCACTGCAGCCCTGACCACACCTTCTGCAGCCACTGCAGCGCTGACCACACCTTCTGCAGCCACTGCAGCGCTGACCACACCTTCTGCAGCCACTCTGACCACACCACACAGGGTTCGTGTGCAGCCTGTGATTAAAAAAAAATGCCCAGTTTGCAATATCCTCATTAATAGAAAAAACTTTAAAAAACACATTGACCGCAAACACACAGAACAGCCAATACAGGACATAATTGCCACATTCCATCTTGTAAGCCAGTGCATTGACAGGACAAATGGCATATTTACAGTTCTTAAAGTTACCAAGGGTCACAGTGTTCCTCTTCATATTCAGCTCAAGACATGGGGAGAACACCATAAGGTCATCTGTGAATCACATGAATGTCAGGTCAACATGGAAGTTGCACAGAGGAGTGGCCTGTCATCATATCAGTGCAAACACATCCGCTCTGTAACTTACTGCACATCTTCTGCCGAACCAGTCTCCCTGAAAGAGGAGATTTTAACCGAGATGGTAAAAGCAAAGTGGTTTAGTAATGAAAAGAAGAAGATATGCCTTACTCACCAGCAACTTGCCAACAGCAGTTGCATACCACTCTCTGTTCAAACTTCGATTGGCACCCCTGAAACAAAGAAATTAATTTCCGTATTTGAACCCAATGTCTCCTATTACAGTCGGTTGGGACGTGTAATGGTTGTGTATGACTCAAAATTAAACACATGGCATTGTCCCTGTGCCAAATTGAGGCGTTCATGTTTGCACAAATATATTGCAAAATGGCACCTTTTTCAGACCCAACGTGAGTTGTTTCGAACAGTCTTCAGCAGAGAAGAATCACCACTCAAAGGGCCACATGCACAGTCTGAGGAGAATGATTTCAGAGAAGACAGTCCTGTTTATCCTCCAAAAGATCTGGGGCTAAAAAATATGGTATCTTACATTCTTCAGCACAAGAAGATACCCGTTGATCTACCAGATGATGTGCATGCACCATCACCAGACAAGGACTACCCAAGAAACCTTTGTCCAGATGAAAGTATCTGTCAGAGTTGTCCAGGTGTTGTCCCCCTCAGTGATCCCATCCTAATTACAAAGAAGGCTAAAATACTCACAAACTGGTCCATTATTGAAGGTATGATTTGGTGTTATGTAATTGCGTGTGTAAAATTCAGCTAAATTGTCTTCTGATGTATTACTTGTTGAAATTTTAGACATTGCCACCTACTGTAAGCAGTGCCCACTTTGTGGAATGTTCTACCGTTACCAGGAGTGGAAAGACCACCTACATAACTTCAATGACCACATCATCCTTGCCATACCCTTATGCCTTACCTTGAGAAGCCTTCTCCAGGTAACTTTTAATTTAACACTCTGGTGTTAATTTAACACTATTATGTATGTTACTTAAAACAGATTTTGTTTATTCCAGGTGCATACTTCTGTGAGCAGAGCCGTTGATTTTTGCAAGATTTGACCGGTTTAAAGTTTCCGTCAGCAGACACGGTGCTGCATGCCTATTTACACTTTGAGGCCCTTACAGACCATGAGTACAGGTATTCATGCGCTACCTGTGGTGATTATCCCCCTGTTGTGATAATGGATCTACACAAAAAGGGTGTTTTCCAGCTTTCTGGTATGTTTATTGTAATCATGTTCACTTCCAAGTTTGTTTTATTTATTTATTTTCTATTTATTTTTTCTTCATGTTATTGCCATATAGTGAACATTTTTTGTACACATTTTGTTTTCTTCCAGTAAATGACATAGAGGAACCCCCAGAAAACTATATATCAAGGGGAAGTCAATCTGGAAACATTCTGGGAGGCATTGTCCAAAGAGATGATATGTCGTGGATTTGTTGCAAGTATGTGGAAACATTTTTTTATTTTTTTTATGCACCATATTGCAAAGAAATTAAAAGAATCACACAGTTTATGTTTTTAATTCTGCTTTTGTAGGTGGTGCACAAAATCCATTTGTTGTTAAACCCATGTATCACTTCTGGGCTCCTTGGATTGGCAAGAACACATGTCGTTCAGATATTGTGCTAAACACAGAGTATGAAAAACTTCATTCTTCAAAGTCTGCCTCAGAGACCGCAGAAATTACAGTGACAGAGGAGAGGCTGAAGGAAGAACTTCAAAAGCAAAAGGTTTGTTTGTAAAAGTACGACTACTTTTTTCCAATATACTACACTATATTCAATAATATTTTTTGTAGGTTAATGTTATTCGGAAACTATGCAAAGAATGTGGTCTGGACTCCACTGGATCTCGGAGTGACCTCCTCCTCAGATTGTCTAATGAAATGAAATCGAGGCAAACATATGATAAAATCTTTGAAAAAATCTGCGGTGCCTCTGGTGAGCTTAATTTCTAATACTGTTTTGTCTGGTGTTGCAAATATAACCTTTGATATTACAGTCAATATATTGCCAATACATTAATGTTTTAAACTTTGTAAGAATTGTTTTTGAAGAATATTTTTTTTGTGTGCTATATTAGGAGGCTGGGGAGTCATCATGTGCCCATGTGGCATAGTTTACAGTTTAAAAAGCAATCTTCGAGCAGAAAGCCCTCGAGATTTTGCTGATCTTCTGTTCTCATGGAAGCATCTGCCGAACATCATTATTTATGACTTTGCACGCGGTTTAGCAACACATGCCAATCTAAGGGCACCAGAAAGCATACCTATTCGTCCATATGAAGGACGCTTAGCAGAACCCAATGAAGAAAACATTAAACTTGCCAAATCTGGAAATCTGAAAGTGTCCTTGCCTTGGCTGGAGGAAAAAATGAGTGTGAGCGATCCTCAAGGACACCCACTGACAGGGTCTTCGGATCATTACGTATTGTCTGACCGTTTTCACGAGAGCAATTCCAAAGACAGTAGAGATGTTCTGAGGAAGATCACTATAGTGCCTCAACTAGCTGGCAAAATAAATAGCCAGGTTGCAGAGCAACTGTTCTCAAAGATGAGAAAAAATAACTACTTTTTGAACATGTCTCAGCCATCAACACATCTGTTTCAAATGAGGACCATAATTCACCACTATAACGAAAACAAGAACAACAAAGTGAGGACTAGATTAATGAAGACGTTTGGATCAAAGTTGGTGAAGAATATGCATGGACAGGCTGTGCTGGGTAAATTAAAATTTCTTTATATATATATATATATATATTTTTTTTTTAAGTAGTGTAAATGCATAGGCCACCATCCAGTGTGTTTGTTTAAAGGAAATATGAGGTTTGGGTCTAGCTCTTGTTGGCTGTTTGTATTGTTATAGAAAATTCTGACATCTCCACTGAGGAGCCAGTCCCCATAGACATTGAGATGGAGGACACAACCCTGACCTCAACGATGGTCCCAACCAGTAGTAAGTGTTAATATATTTTGTATTAAGTCTTGATATATCCTGATGCAAGTTATTGTATGTAATTATCCATTTTAACTATTACAGCAGGAAATGAAATTGTGTGTAGCATCGAACACCTGTTTGCCAGTAGAGTGTGTTGGGATTGTCTGCCAAGCCATAGACAATCAGCAATGGTATGTGAATGACAGTTTTCAGTTTTATTTGATGTTGTAATGGCACTCACAAACCAGAATTTATGAATTTGAAATGCAGAATTTTATATATATATACTCTATGTAATTTCTTTTCTCATTTGTCTTTAAGCTTGACTGGGCTTTGGGGACAGATGACCCAGATGAAACAATTGGAAAAGTTGGGAACTTGGTTCTGAGGAGGAAAGATTTCCGTACTCTAGGTCTCAATGAGCTGTTGGAGGCAACAGTGAGTTGACAATGACATACAATAACATACAATAAGAAATGTTTGTGACTCACTATTACAGTTGTCTTTTTAAAAACTGCAGATTGCAAACAGCTGTCTTGAGGTGATTGCATTGGTGGCTAAGGAACATGTAAGTTTTTGTAAAGCTGCAAATCTCAAATAGTCAGAGACCTAGTTGTCTAATGTACAGTCTTATATTGGTATGTTATGTTGTAGGGAATGGATGTGTGGACAGCCAACGCATATGTTGTGGTGACCTGGTTGCCTCCAAATAATTTGGACCCATTATTGTCATTTCCAGTGAGGCCACAAAGTTACATAACATTCACAGCAGTGTCCAATTTTATTTTAAACTAAATGGATTTTTTTTTAATCATCTATAGGATTGCATTGCGCTGAAAGATTTCATTGTCTTCCCTGCTTGGAAGCCAGCACACTGGATGTTGTGTGTAAGTTATTTAATGTAACTTTGCAGTGTTGTCTGAAAATTGCCTGCTTTTGTCTCATCACAATTCAGAAATGCCATTTCATGATTCTTAAAGGAACACTCCGACTTTTTGGGACTTTAGCCTATTCACCGTATCCCCCAGAGTTAGATAAGTCCATACATACCTTTTTCATCTCCGTGCGTGCTGTAACTCTATCTGACGCACCCACCGCTAGCCTAGCTTAGCACAAAGACTGGATGTAAATGGTTGCAGCTAGCATACTAATCCAAATAAGTGACAAAATAACGCAAACATTTTCCTATTTACATGTTGTGATTTGTATAGTCACAGAGTGTACAAAAAACAAAGTCACATGAGACACAGACATATTTAACCGTATAAATACTGGGAACTATATTCTCTGAAGGCGAAGCACTGCTACTTGGGCGGAGTGATAACCGCAGCACCTGAGACGAGCCTTGGTGAGGAGCAGAGAGCGCGTCTCAGGTGCTGCGGTTATCACTCCGCCCAAGTAGCAGTGCTTCGCCTTCAGAGAATATAGTTCCCAGTATTTATACGGTTAAAATATGTCTGTGTCTCACGTGACTTTGTTTTTTGTACACTCTGTGACTATACAAATCACAACATGTAAATAGGAAAATGTTTGCGTTATTTTGTCACTTATTTGGATTAGTATGCTAGCTGCAACCATTTACATCCAGTCTTTGTGCTAAGCTAGGCTAGCGGTGGGTGCGTCAGATAGAGTTACAGCACGCTCGGAGATGAAAAAGGTATGTATGGACTTATCTAACTCTGGGGGATACGGTGAATAGGCTAAAGTCCCAAAAAGTCGGAGTGTTCCTTTAAGTACTAACACTATTTTTTGCAGGTCATGAAGCCAAAAGATAGGCACATGTACTTCCTAGATTCAACCAATCCGTATGGGTTGGGTGATGAGAGATATGTGAAAGTTTTCAGGTTGCAAAAATAAATATAGAAGTTAAAATGTTCAAGGTTCTCAGTTCAGGTTTGCTGTTCAAGGTTCGCTGTTCAATGTGTTTGTTCAAGTTTTGCTGTTCAAGAGTTTAATAAACTTCCTTAATGGTTACTTGCATGATGTTCTGATTTTGCATGCTGTGACAGTTTTTACAAGAAAGACCCAAATACTGTTGACTGCGTGTCTTTGCATGGATTCAGAGCTTCAAACTGTGTGCTGCACAATGTAACTTCATATTAACAAATCTCTTTTATTATTTGTGTATTTTTGTTACAGTAAGATGACAGCCAAAATCGCACCTGGCACATGGGTGCTACTGAAAAACAAGGTTGGTTATAAAGAAGTCTGCTAAATTTGGGACTGCTGAAGTGTCAAACCCTTAATAAACTCCTGCTTTTTTTTTTTGGATATCCCCCAACAGATTGGTGGTGTAGACTGTGGAGTCTTCATGTTGATGGTGAGACATTGTTTTGATATAATTAAACCAATGATTGGTGTGGTGGTGTTTTTATTTTCATTTTTTTAAGTTGTTAAATACGGAACAAGGAATAATTTTTTTTGATTGAGATTTACAGAGATAATGTTCCTTAATTGTTGCTGTTTTCCAGTATGCTCTACATCTTGTCTTGGGAGCACCCTTTGATTTTACATCTGTAAGTAATTACCAGTTGAAGTAATTGACCTTTATGATGTTGTAGCAGTTGAAATATCAAGATTTCTCTATTTTTGTCTTGCAGTGCGACTTTCCAAACATACAGAGATGGTGGGCTCTTATTCTTCTGGAGAACTTTGGGATTTTCTCTGAAAGGTAGATACTGGACATTTACTCCAGCCCACCGTTACATTTGCACTCTCTTCTGATCAATTTTAAATTAACCAAGATATAAATATATTCCAGTGCAGAAACCCTACAAGAGTCCCTTCCATGTGAAGAACAAGCTACACTTAGCAGCAGTGAGGTGGTGTGTATAATATGTGTATATATATATCTTTTATATGTCACATTTACACATTTATAAAGTCACATTTTCCTTTAATATGTAATGAAGGAGCTCCCAATAATCTGGCACATGAAAGAAGCTGTGAAATGGCGAGAGGCGGTATTAACATTAAGTGACATGGGCATCTGACGCACAGAAGCCAATGGCACATGTCACTATACGTATTTGCACATCAGGTCTCCATTGGCATGTGCCTAGTGGATAGTGACATGTCACTGACATTATCGCGGAACAGGTTTCCGTCTTGTGACACCTTAGTGACTTACAGATGAGCTGAGCAGCTATACTGACATAATGATGAAACAAACGCCTATATAAATAGCCTATATTAGTGATGTTTTTAAATAGATGTCAATTAAACGTTTTAATTATTATTTTTCATTATAGGACTCAATAAAAAAAACAGGAAAACAGATGGAGTGTATGGCAGGTGACTTGCGTGTGTGCTGTTTTCAGAAAGTGGGCAAAGGGTAGGCCTTGTTTGTTTTTACTGTATATTTTTAGGTGAATACACTTATTAAACCATGTGTATCGTATTCACAGGCCATTGTATCCCAGTGTTGTGAAGCCCTTGTGGGTACAGTGTGACATGTGTTTGGGCTGGCTACACACAGATTGTGCTGGAGTGAAAGAAGCTGAAGTCAAAAAAGGGACTTTCAAATGTGGATGTGATTTGACACAACCACACACTTTTGATGAGTAAGTTTAAATAGAAAGCTTTTACTGCCATTAAGAAACATGGAGTTGGATCATGGTCTAGCCCAGAATTACATTTTTATTTTCACTGAAAAGTATATGATCTTGCTAGAAATAAATAGGAACAAAATATACTCAGCATTAATATTATGGTACTTCAATTCATGTTACATAATCAGTATAAAGCCACATAAACTTTGATTTAGCTAACCACTTATTAACAGCCTTTTGTGGTACCACTGGCTAATTGTCATCTTCTGATTAATCAGCAACTATTCTATAGCCTGTTTTTTGTTCTATGCTATGTCATAACCTGATGTTGATAACATATACATTATTGTTTCTTTGTAGCACTCGGAAGGCTCTGAGACTTGGAATTGAAAACTTAATCTCAGATCAAGACATAAAAGTGAGTACTATAAAATCACAATTAACATTTCTTGCCATGTGTTGTATATACAGTATATATATATATATATATATATATATACACACCATTTTAACATAATTCTGTTCCAACAGGCTTTACATGAAGCTTTTCACAATGGAGACATCAAATCCTGTCGGTTTTACCTGTGGAAACATCCAGAGACATCACTGAAATTCAAGCAGCACTTAAAGCCAAAACAGTGCTATTTCAGCGAAAGTGATGTGAGAAAATAAGCTTATTGTTTTAAGCGTTTCACATTTTACTTGCAGTATATGTTATTGTTATATTACAACAAGTTCCTTATTATCCTAAATTATTCAATATTCTCATATTTAATAGCTCATCAAACTTGCTGATAAAATAAAGAGAGCAGTGGATGCAGATGAGGATCTTGAAAACCTGAACTACATATTTGATGTTATGATTCCAGAGGTATGTGGTAATTATATGATTGAAGTTGATTGATGAAAAACAACAGTTTTCTTCTTTTTAAGGTGACAATACTCCTTGTACAAAGACTGGAGAAGATTTGCCGCTATGCAGTTGAAGTTGTAATGGCCTCTGGCATAGTCAAGTTTCACTAATTTGAAGTATGCTAATGCATCAACTGTATTTATTAAAAGGGGGGGGGAGGGGGAGGGGGAGGGGGGGGGGGGGGGGGGGGGGTTAGCCATTGCTTTAACTTACATATTTGTTGAGTCTCTTTTCTGTCTCTGCTTACTGAAAAAGGTGTATACATTTTATAAGCTACCATTGACTAAACATTGGGGATTAGTCTACAATAACTACAAATTAATTTAATATATATTCCTGCTGGAGATGCCCGAATGTTTTATTCAAATATTTGACTTGCTGTATCTACATTATAATAGATATAGGATCTACAGATGTACACTTAACAATGGTATGTGTCACTTTACAATAGTTTGTGGCATTTTCTCTCTTGCTAGTTTACAATTATTTGAAATACCTGATTGGTAAGTGTCAATTTGTGGTGCACAAACAACATACTCCTGCTTGTACCACTTTAATAAGAACATTTTACTAAAATAGCTAAATAGTTCCTATATTCTTGTATAGTTACAAATGACAGCTTAACTGTCAGTCCTATATACAAATATAAATAAATGTGTTATTGTAAATACAGTTGTGATATGTAGGTAAATACATTGTCAGAATTATAATAAAATAAAATAAAAAACCTTGATGTAATGTCTGAAAGCATTATTATTAATAATTTTCTGCCGTTCATCTGTGTGTCAGATGCCCATGCCCATGCTAAAACTGCTACTGGAAATGGCTCCATTCCAACAGCCATCTGCTCAGGGGTCCAGTGGAAGACATGGGGCCCTATTTTAACGATCTGAAACGCAAGTGTCAAAGCGTAAAGCGCAAGTAACTTTGTGGGCGGATCCCGGCGCTGTTGCTATTTTCCCGGCGGGATAAATGCCTCTTGCGCCTGGCGCAAATCTAAAAGGGGTTGGTCTGAAGTAGCTTCATTATTCATAGGTGTGGTTTGGGCGTAACGTGAAATAAACCAATCAGAGCGTCATCTCACATTCCCTTTAAGAGCAGGCGCGCTTGTTCTAAAGCGGATTCCTATTATAACGGCGGATTTACCAGGCG